TTAGAATTTTATTGTCATTATTACCATTATCATCACATTGGATAAAAGATCTGTATCTTAGGAACATCTTCCAAAGCCTTCTGTAGGACACCTTACACATGCCAGACAATGTTTCTATTCCTGAACTCGCAACTGCAGCATACAACTTCAAAGCAAGATGATCTGTGACATAAAGCAACAACTCTTCCATACACTCATCACAGTTTCAGGCAGAATGTATCATGTCCTCGTCAGTTAACGCTTGCTGATATGTGAACACGGCCATAATGCGTTAGGTCTTCTAACTGGAAACCTTTTAGAGTTTGTTTGGAGTGCCTGTTGATACCCATAAATATTGGTTAGACCTTTGACTCGTTACAATCAATGTTTCAGTGACAATAAAATGGATGATATACAATAGAATTATGAATGTAAAATGAAAATAATATTAATAAAATCGTCGCCTCTTCACAGCTTGGGAATCTTCGACCCCCCACTCCTCCCATTTCCTCGTCCGTATATAAAAGCATCGCCAGTCACTGTCCCTATGCGCTCCATGAGGGTATCAGACAACGCCTCCTCGCTACAGGCAGAGGCCGTTGCGATCATGGAAGCCCTAGCCCACGCGTCTCCATTGGGAGGACACGTAGTCATTCACACTGACTCTAGGGCAGCCATTGACTCTCTCAAGCTCAGCTCACCCAAAGACAATATCTACCTCCTGACCACAATATTAACAATAGCCCAAAGAATACTGGCTCAGGGTAGAAGAATCATCCTTAATTGGGTCCCTAGCCACATTGGCATCAGAGGGAACGAACTTGCTGACAGACTAGCAGTCTCTGGCAGGGGTATGCCCCCTAGTCCCATGATCATTGCACCTAGCCGTAATTTACTTCGGATGAAGAGTACTGGTGTCGCCAACTCCTTCCTCCTGCAGCTTCACAGAGAGGCAACGAGATCCTCCCCCTCGGCCAGATGGTATTCAGAAGCCACGGACTATGAACCTCTGGCACTCTCTGAGTTAAAAGACAGACAAACCGAAGTCATTCTCCACAGAATGCGCCTAGGTTACCACTGTAAATGGCAGATAATTGAGACCATTGTCCATGAAGAGAGGTGTTGCATGCATTGCGGCGAGCCGAACGCCACACTTATACATTACTTAGAGAATTGTGTACACACACAATTCCTGAGACAGGGACCCCCGACAACAGCCGCCGTGCTGGTAAAGAGACTTTGCGATCCGCTTACCCCGTGGCAGTAGGAGCGCCTGCTGGCAATCCCACCGCCACGGTAAGCACCGAGAGCCATAGATCGAAATGAGTCAGCCCTAAAAAGCTGACACAGGCCGGGCCATAGCCGAAGGCCCGGGCGAAGCTAGAACTTCGCAAATCACAATCGATCACTGTCCCTCATTGTCGATTCCAATGCTGACACGTAAGGACTCGACGATGAGGTGGATCGCTTTGACTTTCTTGTTGTAAGTTAGATTCATTTTTGTTGTCTTTCTTGTAAGTAGTATGAATCGTTTTGCGTTTCTTGTAAGTTGAGTTCATTTTTGTTGTCTTTCTTATAAGTAGGATTAATCTTTTTGCGTTTTTTGTTGTAAGTTGGATTCATTTTTGTTGTCTTTCTTGTAAATAGGATTAATCGTTTTGCGTTTCTTGTTATAAGTGAGATTAATGTACTGCGTTTACTTAAATGATTCTTTTAAGAACTGTTGTGGTGATTGATTACATTTTTTTTTGTTGTTTCTCCCGTGTGGTGTCTTTGTGTTAATGCGATCTTTGTATTGTTCACGAATATAATTAGTAATGGCAAGCTTTTATATATATATATATATATATATATATATATATATAAATCCACATTTTATACTTTTGTGTAATGCTCTATGTATGGACATGTGTTTTAGTCTGATTTTAGTATGTTATTCATTATGATTGGCTTTCTTTATCTCAAAGGTTGTCATCCTTGATAGTGGCGACAGAAGCGCGACCCCCAAGGCAAAATCCCGCCTACATGTACGTCATGATCCCTTGTCTTCTTGCCTTGTTTGCTGTTTTATCTTGCTTTGATAATCACCATAATGCATTTCCTTTCTAGCCCCACCGATAATCCTTCTGCCGCTTTATTGTTCTGATTTGTTTTCTGCCTTTAGTTCCTACGCCCGGGCCTTTCATCCCTCTATACCCTTGCTACTGCATGTTCCCACCGTGTCCTTGTGGTCCTCCTAGCCCCATTGACTTCATAAGGGTCAAGCGACGCGTGTAAGGAGGACTCCAGAAGGCCCTGCGAGTCCTCAGGATGGTTTTCCTTGTCGTCCACGTCCTCGGACTCTTTTAAGTGCTTTTGTTTAAGGTTTTTTATTGTCTACTTAAAATAGTAGGTTTTCCTTTTGTCTGTAAAAGTTATCAGGTGTTCTATTCATGTATTGTGTTTTTTTCGTGTAACCATAAATTAGCAAGATTCGATAAGTGCCTGTGCAAATCATTGTTTTTTGTTTCTTTACACTAGTTATCAGGGCTTCCCTAGTGTCTGTCTTACATGCTTGTCTATATTAGTGCAAGACTTCTTCATTTGATTCGGCTATCTGTAGTACTGCTAAAAATAAATAGTCATAATTGTTGACGTTTCTTTATATCCTCACCACCGTTTGAAGAGTAAGCTCATGTTGGCTCGAAAGAACAGGTTGTCAATCTCTTGATCTTTATGGAAATCAGTATATTTCAGCGATTTTTGTTAGTTTGCAAGAAAAAATAATCCCACATATATGTTTCTCTATATATGTATATAAACATACATATGTATATACATTTATATACATATATATACATATATGTATATATATATTGTATATATTATATATATATTATATGTATCATATATATTGTATATGTATATGTATATATTTATACATATTGTATACATATATTACATATATATTATATATCATATCGTATATTTGTATGTGTCTGTGCGGTTTTACACACGGATACACACACACACATATATAAATGTTCCCACCCACACCTACACTATTCTTTTCAATAAACAAATGCCGTTGAATTAAAAGCCATTGCATTTTAAAACTTCAACCCATTACAAGATTCCTTTATCATCAGTCGTATTTTATGTCACAAGGCAGAAGAGGGAATTTACCCGCGTTACTGTCTTCAAATAGATCTTATTATGTCATTTCCTTACTTATTTACATGTTATTGTATGTCTCTTTCGTATCTTCTTTTGAGAGTCGACGTGTCAATTATTTGATTTGTATTTTAAATTCTTCCATGTGATAATGTAAAAATGTATGGTAATTGCAAAAGTAGTTGTAGTTTGAAGTCAAGAGAGAAGAAATGTTTAATAATGAGTATGATGCAACAATAAGTACTTCTTGAACTTGTCAACAAAATATCACTTACTTATTCTGCATAATAGACCACACTCTCAGAATTAGCCTATAACCATTAGCAAATTTGTGAGAAAATATGGTTATTTGTTAAACTAGACCGCCATCTGCTGATTAATTCAGTAAATCTTTTAAGTTGTGTGTGTGTTTGTATTTGTGTGTGTATGTGTGTGAAAATAGATGGAGTATAAAAGGGAAAATAACAAAATGACAAAAACAACGAAGGAAAACAACAAACCACCAACTACAGATTGCAACTTGCAACTGACTTCCTTGACTGGAGAAGAACCATATATTTACGCACAAAACGGCACAGGTCACGCAACACCCTCGTATCTCCGGCAATAATAA